ATTTAATTAGTATTGATCAAGAATTAATTTGGAATTAATTAAGTGATCAAAAGGAGACTAATTAAATATATGGGTTGATTGTGTAAATCATTCATTCTTATATATGTGGGCTTGTGATCCAAGATTCCTTATGTTGGACTAAGTCCATGGGGTGACCCATGGATACTCCATGGAGGTTAAAATCCATGGAGCATAAGGAATGGGTACAGTTATGAGTTACATGGTGTAACCCTAATAGCCACCATATAAAAGAATCCCATGGCTCAAGAAATCGTGCACTAATGTGTGAGTGTGAGGGCTAGACGATTTTAAGGAGTGTTCAAGTTTCTCTCAAGTTATTCCAAGTGTATTTGGTGTTGTGTGAACCATTTGAGGTGTCACACTTGGGGCACTAGGCACTCAAGCTTCATGAAGACATTCTACATCAAAGAGGTATGTATTCTATCTTGTTATATTTATTATTTTGTATGCTAGATTAGGATAATACCTTGGAAAGTTCATAATTGTATGTATAATAGAGAAAACATAGATCCAAGGTATTTAGGGTTGCATGTACACTTAGGAGTGTTAGAATGCGCATAACCCAACAGTTTAAACATAATAATTATATTATTGTGGGTTGAAAACCCTATGTACTCACCGGGTTTCCCAACCTGACCCACTCAAGCTTATTTGTATCACAGGTGTCGATATGAAGCTACTTTACACTGGGAGATTTAAAAGAGATGTAGATCACTAGAGTAAATGAATGTAAGTTCTGTTTATGTTTATGTTTCTGTATTGACGATGACATCCCAATGTTTTGAAAATGAATGAAATACATTTCTTCGGAAATGATTTGATAACGTATTTATCATGTTTTTCTGGGAACAAATTCCGCAACACATTTCTTTAAAAGATACTCTGATTTTCAAAATAAAGCATAAACAAATCGGTCTTTTCTGGCCGTGAAAATGGGGATGTCACACCTAAGTTGCGGTGGTATAGGGGTGTTCTTCCTCAAATGGCTTTAGTAGGAATTTTCCCTTTCAGTGTTATCTATATTCAGTTGTACTACATATTGGCAAGTGTTTGGGGACATCACTTTTATACAGTTTATAACATTATTTTCACAGTCTTCTTTCTTCTTCTGATCATGATTGCTTTAGTTTCTGTGGCGCTGACATACTTCCAGCTTGCTGCTGAAGATCATCAATGGTGGTGGAGGTATGTTAAATAGTTGGTGTGATCGATAGTGGTCTTGAATTTCTATACGGGGTTATAACTAATAAGATTTTTTTATTTGACACATGTCATATTTGTGTGGTGGATCTACTGGATTGTATATATATGTTTATTGCATCTATTATGATTTCGAGAGATCAAACATGAATGGCGTCCTTTTACTTCAGATATATGGCTTGTGCATGTTTGGGAATATTTCTGATACTTGGAAGTGTGGGTTTCAATGGCTCGTTACTCTTTGTTCGTTACCGGTATGCAGCTATAAAATGTGATTAGCAGAGTAACCGATAGATTTTGATATAGAATATTCTTGTGATATTATTGTGTTATAAATTTAGGATAAATGCAAGTACATTGCTTGTTCTATGTAACCTGCCCAGTGTTCATTTCTTTTTTTGGAATTGATCTCACTAATCATATGTCCAAATCTATATAAAAGCATAATGTCCTTTTAAAGTTTTATTCCTTAATTATGTGTTCTAGTTAATCTTCTATTACTTGTGTTAATATATAAGTTAAGAATATTTTTTTCCTTAAGCCACAACCTGGCTTATTAAACATTAGTGATCAAGTCAATTATTTAATCCAGGAAGATATTTTTGAGGTAACAAAAAGACCGGACTGAAAAAGACCGGTCCGAAAAAAGACTGGCACAGACCGTTCGGGACCAGTACGAAAAATGATCTGACCATTTAAGACCGACCGACCCAAGACCGGTCTGAGTCTGCTAATGTGCATCTCTACCATGTTGAGTCATACCGATGATTTGTCTTTAGGAAAACCCCATCTCTAAGGTGTTTTTTTTTGTTTTTTAAGAGGTAAAGATCTGCAGTTTGTGGACCACATCTGCAGATATTTTTAGAAGAAGTGGTGGACCAAACGTATACAGTCTGCAAAAACTATAATGTTTGTTTCTAAGATCTATAGGCCGCTAAAATAAGTTTAAAAAATAAACATAAACGCGATAAATAGGCAATATAACATAATTTGTTCCAAAATAAGCAAAATAATATAACCATTAACCACATAGATACATGACTAAAATAATTAAGCATATACCAATTATTTGCACTCATTCCCGAATCAGTAATCACGAACTCACGAGCACAGACAAGCCATCGCGACTTCTGTCACCGACATCTGATTTCTTCTTCGTCTTCGGGTGTGTTTGGGATTACTTTTTAAACTTAAAAGTCCTTTTTATAAAAGGACTTTTGGTAAAAGAATTTTTTCTAAAAGAATGTTTTTAAAATGTATTTGGCTTGACTTTTAAAACTTTTAAGTGGCAAAAGCCAAAAGTCACAAAAAATAGAAATTCATGTCTTTTGTTCAGCCAACTTTTTCTTCTTAGCTAAAATTTAATTTTAAAAGAACTTTTCAATTTACCAAACAACTTTTGGTAATTTTTAACTTTTTGAAAAAATTAAAAGTCAAAAAGTTGATTAAAAAGGAACCCTCTTCGTCTCTCTACGCCTACTCTGTTGTCTTCGTACCACCATATCTACGCCTTTCTGTCTCTCACTTCCGACTTCCCTTAGCCGGTTGCCGCCACATCTCAGCCTCAACCCTCAGTTATTTGCATCAGATAGGTTTTCATCACATCTCCATTAAGCTTCCCCCAATCCTTTAGAAAGCTACGTCTATGGTCTATATGCACATCACCATAAATTTACCCTAAGAAGTGGAGATACGACAAGAAACTATGATGAAAAGGGCACTACCTGTCTAATATTCATCGTTTTACAAATCCCAGAATTTGTGGCTTATTTGGATACTTTTGATTCATCTGAGCATCAATTTTTATTCATGACACTTGCGTGGAATGAATTTTATTATGATACTTCCCCTAATCTTCATCATCTTTTCTGGCTCGAGTTTATCGGCGATCTCAACTTCCAATGATCGACGACAAGGTTTTGAAGGAAACCATAAGGTTGCTTACTTGTTTCTAGTCCGTCACGTCCTGCCCCTTGATTTCCTCTGGCAAAGCTTCTTCAAGGTTAGTGCTAAATACATTTATGTAGCATTAAAAGATTCATTGGCCAGATGTCTTTATCATCACATTCTTTGTTTTTGTATCATTTGATTGGATATAAATACAGTTAAACAAATAGAATACTTAGCTTGCTTTGATCAATATGTAGCAAAAACTATAATGTTCGTTTCTAAAATCTATAGGCCGCTAAAATGAACTGAAATCCAAAATAAACTGATTTTTTATATTTAAAAGACTTTTTATGTCAGTTACTTTTGATCAACAGTTATCTATAATTTACAAAAACAAAAACTAAATTGCAAATTCAAAACAATGTTTATGCATAAATAAAATCAATCAATTGATTAAAAACGGGTTTCAAAAACAAATTACAAATAGGCTATGTATGAGAAAATTCATGAAATCATCTTTGAGAAATCATCCTTGAAATTTCAAGGCTAATGTAAAAAAAAATAATAATAATAAATAAAAAATAAATAAATAAAACTATGTAGATAAAATCATCTACGGGAAAATCGAAATAGATAATTCAAAAGTAATGAGCGCAAAAAATAAGAGACTTTGTTAAAATCCTTAAACATATGAGAATGAGTCAATTAAATTGACATTGACATCACATTAATTTTGCTTTTCCTAGGGTTATTTTACATTAATATTTATATCAAATAATGTAACTTTTGTCTATTTATTAATATGTTAATAAATTTTCGTTGAAAGCTTTAAAAAATGACTATGAAGGGTTGAAGCTTTTAAAAATTAAATTGGTTTAATCCTAATTTTTAATTTGAGAATGGTAGTTTAGTAATATCGTAAGATATTTTGGATTTTAGATAAGTTTTTCAATACTAAATTATTTAGATCCTAACTAAAATATTATCTTTGATATAGATGTGTATTTTTTAGTTTTCTGCTGATTTATATGTAGTTTTAAAATTTATAAAGACATAAAAGTAATATTTAAAGTTTGTAAAAACATGAATGAAATTATGTATTTTTTATTACGTCTACAAACTTGAAAAGAGGTAAGTTTATATCTGCTCCAAAAAGATGGTGTGCATACCTTTTTAGGTATGCGGTTCTCTAAAAAATAAACACTTTGCGAGAACAAACGTCTATGTGGAGCATACAAAAGAAGTCAGAAGCTCTTTTTGAAAAAAACAAAAACAAACAACACCTAAATGACCTCCCTTGTTAAAACTCTTGCTTGAATATGCCTTCTGAATCTAATTCTCTAAGGAAACCACTTTTATATCTTCTTTTTAATAAATAGATCCAAAATGTTCAAATATCCATTTATATCTTAGCCCATATGTTATTAGCCTAAATTTTTATGGGTTTTTTAGCCTTTAGCTCATTAGGGTTTGGTTTTCTCTAAGGAAACCACTTTTATATCTTCCATTAATAAATAGATCCAAATTGTTCAAATATCCATTTATATCTTAGCCCATATGTTATTAGCCTAAATTTTTATGAGATTTTTATCCTTTAGCTCATTAGGGTTTGGTTCTTAGCTAATATTTATTCTCATTTTTATTGTTTGTAGCTCGTAAGCTTTTCTATCAAGAAACACTTGTGATTTCTCTCTTTCAATTTCAATAACAATATGGCTCTATTATCATTGACCATGCATTTTCATAACGGAGGCCATGCTAAAATGATTAATTTCCCATAACACAATTACCCATCAAACTTTTAATATAAAAATAAAGCATATTAACAATGTCATTCTGAGTTTATGACTAAAATGTAGTTCAAGAATTCTGTTATGAGATAAAACTAATTATTGAAATGAAAGATCTGCATCAATCTCAGCCATTACATCATTAGGCTCAGTCACCAACGAACCAATTAGATAAACATGTTTTCGTTGCGGAATTTGGCTGATTTTGTTCAACTCTTCCTCAGTCAACGACCAATCAAATATGTCCAAGTTTTGCTTCATCCTCTCTGTGTTAAAACTCTTTACCACAAAACTGACACCTTGCTCATATATCCATCTCAAAGAAATCTGCAAATCAATACTTCAAGATCAACACATGAAATTATATATTCATGGACTCTTTAAGAATTGTATAGTACCTGGGCTACTGTCTTCCCTTTAGACTTGGCAATATCTTGAAGAACTTCACATTCCATGACCCTATTGTGTCCCCATTTGGTGCCAGATGCACCTAAAGGTGAGTAAGCAGTGATAAGGATGTCATTCTTTTTGCAAAATTCATTGAGTTTTTTCTGTTGCCAAAGTGGATTCATCTCAACCTTTTAAAAGTACAAAAGAAAAAACATTGAGCAAGTATATATGCTATAAACATCATGACTCAAATTGAGAAGAAAGAGTTGATAATTAAATGATCACTTGGTTGACAGCTGGTGGAATTTTGGCAAAGGAAAGGATCTCTTCAATTTTTCGAGGAGCAAAATTGCTAACACCAATGGATTTGGTGAGTCCAAGATTTTGACACTTCTCCATGCCTTCCCAAACGTCCTTGATATTGATTGCAGCTATACAATCTTTTGGAATCGGGACTTTGAATTCCTCTTGGTTTAGCTTTAATGGCCAGTGTATCAGATACAAATCCACGTAGTCTAGTCCCAAGTTTCTACATTAATTTATAAATCATCAATATCTGGTTTCATTTGTGCTTCATAAGATAGTTTTAGTTCTTATAATGAGTTCTTCAGTTATGAATCATACTTTGTAAAAATTAAAAAATAACAGGTCATATATTCATATGAGATAATACACCACCTTCACTTTGTTTTACAGTTTTAACCCATATTTTTTATTTTTATTACAAATTTGGTCTTTTACTTTTTCATTTAACATTTCTGGCCGATGAATATAAAACTACTAGTTTACCAAACAAATGTTTGTTGGACTAACTATGTCGTATATCCTTTTCATTTTTTTTTTTCAGATGTATTGTCAATAATTGATTATCTTTAAAGCTTAGTATCACAAAATAAAACATAGTTTAAAAAATATTATGTTTTCTGTTACATATTAGTTTTGTACACCACATATCATTTAAGTTTAAGTTGGGAATAAAATGTTTCACAGACTCACAGTATTCGTTTTAGAAAATACCTGTCGATTGTTCATGTAAATTTAATTTCACATATGGCTTTGTTGTATCATATTTTTGATACTAATCATGCCGGCATGTACTTAGAAAAAGCATAATTTAACTATGTATTTTTTTGTGTGTGTCCTTTAATGTTTAAAGCATCTCCACGAAAGGTTATTATTTCTTATTACTACTTAAAAAACTTTTGCAATATCTTTTTATTATTCAAGTAAAGATTTTCAAAAGCTTTAATTATACACAAAAGTTTAGTAGATATTTGAAAAAAAATAAATTTTTAAAATTTAAATCCTTTTGGAACCAAATTCCAATTAAAACCAAAAAAATAGAAATCTTTAATTTTGATCAAGTTATAAATTATAATATATATTACTCGTGATTAACCCTCCTTCCCAAATATAATAAAATAACTAAAACACTATTGAGAAACGAAAAGAAATATATATATATATATATATATATATATATATATATATATATATATATATATATATATATATATTGTGGAAGTGGTGATCTTAGTGCAGACTTTGTTTCATGGCAGGTAGCACAAGATGTCCCTCGGCGGAGTTACACCACAACTTGGTAGTAACAAAAAGCTCCGCCCTAGAATTTATGAGACCCTGTCGCAGAGCTTCTGTGATGCCTTCCCCAAGAGCTTTCTCAGTTCCATAAAGCGCCGCCGTGTCAAAGTGGCGATAACCCACTTTGATGGCTTCAACAACCGCTGCTTTCACCTCATCACTGCCTTCTGCCAACGTTGCCATACCCATCCCAATAAGGGGAATAGGTCGGCGACCATTGGAGGAGCTTATGGTCGTCTCAGGAATGCTTACCATCTTTTTCTCTACAATTCCTTTCTTTTGTGAGTAAGTTTATATGACTTGTAAGCTAATGGCTGGCTGTATTTATTATTATTATTATTATTATTATTATTATTTGCATTTTTATAGGAAATGTAAGATCGTTTCAAGCTAAATGACGGATTCGCATGCGTAAGCAGTCTTTACATTTTTCTAAATAAATCACTATCGAACCTAGACTGTCTAAGAGCATTGGGTGTGGGCAACAAGGTGCAACACCAAGTTGTGTCATCTCATTTGCCACATAAGCAAATGGTGTTATAACATCAAGTGGGAAATGGACAACAAGATGAAACACCAACTTTTTGAAAATAAATATTTTTTTTTTTGTATTTTTTTTTTACTATTTCGTTTTTTTTTTTTAGTTTTTTTATGGTTTTCAAACGGTCTAAGTTTACAACGGCGTTTCTCATCGAGTTAGTTTTTTTATGGTTTTATGGTTTTTTAATGGTTTTCAAACGAAATAGTAAATATCCATTTCAAACGACGAGAAGCAACGAGTTGGGGGGGGGGGGGGGTGTTCCCCGTTACGACGCCGTCGAGCTGCGCCACGTCACCGGCGTTTCATCTCGTTTGGACCCATACCGTGTGGTCTAATTTTCGTTTCTTGATTCCTTTTAGTCTAATTATCTAAAGTAGTTTTTCAAAGCAAGGTTCTAGAAATTGTGGGACATGCTTAGAGCACGTATTTTAAGGTTCAAGAAATTGTGGGACATGTTTAGAGCACGTATTTTAGGAGAGTATTTTCGTGGGTTTCTTATTTGAAAAACATAAAATAAAAAAATAAACTTATTATATATTTACAATAAAAGAGTGTTATTTTTTTCAGTTAGTTTGTTTAATAACAGTTAATTTTGTTTTCTTCTTTGTTTTGAGGGAGTGGCCTCGCCACCCCTCTCGCCAAAAGGTTCGCTATGAGATGCTATACCATCCCCAACAGCTCGCTAAAGGATACGCCAGGAAGAACTCGTTAAGAAGCTAGCGAGATGAGAAAGAATGAAGAGCTTAAATCTGATTGGTTATTTTCTTTTTCTATTATTTATTTTTTCGTGATTCACCTTCGGTTCGTTGTTGCCTCCCTCAATCTCCTCTCCACAAATTTGAGTTATTCACTTGCTTTCGGGAAAAAAATCGCAATTTCTAAGCTTGAAAATGGAAAATGGGAGACTGTCGCTGCAACTAATTGCTGGGAGGAAGAAGATAGAAATCTGAATTTGACAGAAATAGATCTCCAAAAATCACATACTTACACATCACACCCCCTATCTTAATTCCTCTCACAAACCAAGTTTCTGAAATTACCAAAAGGACCCTGCACTTAAATTTTATACTTATTTTCATGTAATTGATTTATATTATATTAATTGTTGGTGGTTTAAAAAAATAAAATTTGATTAATATTTGTGCATAAAAATGTTTGTATATTAAAATAAATTAGTTTAATTTAAAAAAAAATGGAGTGCTAGGGGTGTTACCACTCACTACCAAATGCTAAGATTAGATGCTAAATGGAGAAAAATGAAATGACACTCAAAAAGCTGATATGACAAGATGCTAAGAGTGTTACCACTCCCCTTAGCCTTCTTTGTTATTGTTTGTATAAGTTGTTTTATGTATAATTGGTTGAAAACCGACTCATCACGATCATATTGTTGAGAAAAGTTCATGACAAAAACTATAAATTTACATTTCCTTAAGATTTAGCTTAAATAAACTATTTTAATATATATATATATATATATATATATATATATATATATATATATATATATATATATGAATATGAGGTTCAATAAAAAACCATTATTAACAAATAATCAAAGAACTAATCGTGAGTGTCGGAAATCATAATGATCGTCAGCCAAGAGAATGGATGTGCACTTGTACATTGGACGGACATACAATCAATTATACCAAAAAACTCACTTTTTTTTTGTTTAGCTTTTTTTAGACCATCTTTTTTATCGGAAAAAAAAACGAATATACCGTTGTTGAAGATTTTTCGTTCTCTTTCCATAGAGATCCATATTGATATATAAAAATCAAACTTTTTATTTTGAAAAAAACTCACTTCGTTTTATTGTTTTTTTCATCAATATTTAAGTTTATTTTTATCCAAAAAAACTAAATATACCAAAAATCTCAATTTTTTGTCTTCTATTAATTAACATCAACATCGATTAAAAAAACACCTCAATCAGTTCAGATTTACACTGTGAATTTAAACTGTAATATTTCAATTTTAACATTAACAATGTGAATCTCACTTGCTATTTCAACTATTTGACCATTTACAAATTACTTTACTGAAATTTACATATGAGTCGAAATCAACAAATGGATTTATTCACATTGTGAATCCGAACTGTATATAATTTAGTTTTCAAAATTCATAATGTGAATCTGACATACTATTATTCACAATGTGAATCTGAGCAAATTCGCAATGTGAATCTGAGTAGATTCGCAATGTAAATCTGAACAGATTTACAATGTGAATTTTGAACTGAAATTCGTTTTTTTTTTTTAATTTTACGAATCTATGTTTAAAGAATATAAAAAAATATGAATTTTGATATATTTGTTAAATTTTTTTGATAAAAAATAGGTCTTAACTTTTCAAAAAATAAAGAAATGAAGTGGGTTTTTTTTTGAAAAAAAAAATTATTTTTTGTATATCAATATGAATCTCTATAGAAAGAGGACATAAAATCATGAACAATGGTATATTCGGTTTTTTTTTCGATAAAAAAATGTAGCCTAAAAAATTAAACGTAAAAAAGGAAGTGAGTTTTGTTATAATCCGGTGAATGTGCGTCAATTGTAAAAGTCTACAACTCTTTCTTTTGTCGTTGACCGCTTTAAATTCGACGCTTTAGATTGGTTCTTTGATTAATAATGTTTCTCTATTGAACATATATATATATATATATATATATATATATATATATATATATATATATATATATATATATATATATATATATATATATATAGGCTTAGGTTATTCTATTCAAAGTAATTATTGTGTTATTGTATGCATAAATGTGGGACAATCATTTTACTTATTTTAAGAAAGTGATTAATACATATTATTAAATTAATGATAATTGAAAAATACCATCTAATTTCATTCTAAGGGTATTTTAGACAATTGAGATAAATTTAAAAAAGGAAAATTCCATTTTTTTGGGATAATTAACTCTCTTGATTTTATAATTCTAATTTTTTTTAATTACTTTAATTTTAATTATAACGTAATTTTTATAATTAAACCCGATTTTATTCTGTCAGAATGACATTCTTTTTATAATGATATTCTATGAAAATGCAAGCCATAAACTAATAAAGAGACTTACTTCTCGCAGAATAAACAAATTTTTAGATACAAGTTAAATTTTTTCTATCACATCCTTGAAAAAATAAAAAACTTTATATGATAAAATGTAGATTATTCTATTGGAATATACTATTACATATACTCTTATCATTCTATTATAGATTAATCTAACAGAATATGACAATGAGTAGTGCATTTTTCTGGAAGATTGGTGACCATTGAGGATTGTTCATGTCTATCCCACACGCATTCATCCAACCTTCGGGTCATTGATCATCATGTACTTCATTTATTCTATGAGAATAACTGTCATGAAAATGAATTATGTAAGAATAAAACTATGTGAGAATGCTTTTATACGACAAAAATAAAACAAATTTTTGTAATTCTAAGAGAACTCATACAACATGATAAAATCAAGTAACACAAATAACGAACTCATAAATTATTTTTGTGTTCTTCAAGAATTTGAACATCAAGTTCTCTTTCAGACATTTCTACAAACACATGGTGTGCAATATTCTCATAGAATCATTTTTGTGTTCTTTAAGATTTTCTGAACCGCCATGACTTGTTATAATCACATAATTACTGTTCACGAGAAATATTTCCATGAAAAAAATCAAAAAAAGAAGATGAAAATACTTACAAAATCAGAACATGAAAATACCATAAATCTTACCATGTATTTCTTCTTCCTCAACACCAGTATCCGTAAATGGGACATCCAGACTCGCCGTGAGACACTGAAAATGAGGCATGTGGCTCATGAGAAGCTGTTAATGGTGCATTGTGATCATGAGAATCCAAGAATGACACATGGGGCTGATGAAGAACAGCTAATGAGGCGTATATTAATACATCAGCAGTGTGTTAGTTCAACACACTGATTCGTACATAGACAGATTTATACATGCATATAAACACTGATATGATATAGAGGTTCGTATTTACCCCCATCAACAAATAGATACATGAAAAAACCATTAGAGAAAGAAGGCAGAGAGATGCTAATGAACAAGTGAAGACGGAGTCGCCGCCAAGAATGGTAAAGAACAGCCGACAAAATCTTTACATTCTTTGGAGTTTTTTATTTTTCTGGTTTGATGACTTGCTTGCCAGATTTGGATCTGGTTCAACGGTATATGTTACGTTAACAAATAGATCCAAAAAAGGGCCGGAGGGGAGACGCGACAATATGCTTTTCTTTAATGTTTAGGGAACTTTCTGATTATTCCGGTGGGGAGAGATATAGAAAGAATAATGACATGGTTTACTGGAGATGAGGGTCGGTTGGGTGGTGGTGGCTGATGGTGGCGACGACAGGGAAGATGTTTGATGTTCTAGGGTTTTCTAGAGGGATTGAGAGAAGGGGATGAAGATAGAAATAGAATGGTCTGCTTCCTCACGTGAGTTTTAATGGATGTTTTAGTGTATGAATGATTGAGTTTTGTTATTTTATAGCTACAAAAGATTGGTATTTTAAACCTTTTATTTTTAATTGGTTGATTTTCATTTGAATAATTAATTACCAAAATTAATTAAAAGCTAAGATTACAATTTTAGCCCTATCTAGGTTTTTAAAATGATTGGCCCACCTTTATGCATACAATAACACAATAATTAGTTTAAACAA